CCCAATTATTTTTCTAGTGTGACGTTTTTTCTTCCCTCCATGCATACGCATGACAAAACCAGGTAAACACATAACAACATGAATGCGCAACTGGACGACGATATTACATACATCCAATTTTATATTCCTGCGCAATCAATTTCCTTCCATTAGCAAGACCTGTTGTGTCCCTTTGACCCCCACGGGGTAAACCTAGCCCCACCTGCCGCAAGGCCTCTCCCTGCCTACCCTTCACGCCGCCGCTGTAGCCAGCCCTTGCCGCAGGTGCGGCATGCCTCCTTCCAAAAGCGAGGCGGGAGCACTCCTGTTGCTGCGCGAGGTGGAGTCTGGATGCCGAGGTGGTTACCCAGCCTGGTGGTAGCGGTGCACGGCTGTGCGGGCGCGGGGGCTATATGTGGGCGGCGCATGGGCCATGCAGGCGATGTCGTGCGCGGAGAGGGGCTCGAAGGGGATGCGGTCAGCGCGCGAGGTGTGATGGAGTCAGTGCGCGAGATGTGATGGAGTCAAATCCAGAGTTATATTCTTTCTCCCATGGAGCATAGGGTTTGGAAGGTTTGGCATGACCAAAAGTTAATTCTTAGTCCGGTCTTGCTGAACATCATCATGGACGAGATAAAATCTTTGGATCATAGCGGGTGCCAAGAAATTAGGGACACTAATATTGGGAGAGAAATCATTTTGTTATACATGGCTATTATCTTCTTAATTAATGGATGAAGCAAATCTTATGCAGTTTCAAAAATAAAACATAGTATCTGTTGGAATAAAATGAGGAAAATCAACAGGAGCTATATTTGTTTTGAAAACTTATGGAGCCGTGCTGTGATGTCTTCACTCGGTTTGTCTTGTGTCCGAAAAAAAACTTCACTCTGGCAGCTTGTGTAGAAAAAACAAGTCGATGGAGAGGAGCTAGCTTGAGAAGGGAACGCTAGTTTGTCCACTATACAAAATAATTCGATCGATATCCGTGTACGTCCCTCTCAAATGCTGCATATTTTCCCGCACAAGTCGAATATCCAGGAAACGTTGCAAGTTTTTCCAACCAATATGACACGGCGAGAAGTGTCAAAGGAGACCAGCTAGCTAAGCTACGCCGGAAGACACTCTCAGTGGAGATTGCAAAGACCAACTGATAAGTGGCTCGTCGACAGGGTGAAGCTCGGAGATTTTTCTCAGCCAGCATTGGCCGGTGCATAGGATTCCATGACCATTCTCTCTGGCTATCCTTTACCCTAGTCATCTGCAATGCACCACCAGCAATTATGTATTGATCCAAGAGAAGATAGGAGTTAGAGCATCTCCAACATATGCCCCAAAACTGCTCCGCACGCTAAAAGCCGTCCTTTTTTGGGTGCCGAAGACGCCCAGCAAATGTTGCAAAATAGTGCGCGCACAAAAGAATTAAGCGCACGCGCTTAGAAGCGCTATCGCACGCTACAAATGTTGGGCGCTGGTCAGCGCACGCTTCATAATTTGCACTGCTTGGTTTTTTTGGGCGCGCTTTTTAGGTATGTGGAAAATCAATGTTGGCCGCGGCGCGCTAAAAGTGCTACAGTTGCGCTATAAAACTATTCTAGCGCTCCGTCTCTGTTGGAGATGCTCTTAGTATGGAAAAGATATTGTTGCGCTTAAGCTGGGTATTTACGGACACATGTGGTAAGCAATCCAAATAATTCAAAAGGATTGCAGATCTGGGAAGGAGTAAAACTTCGGACACAGAGGGCGTCTTAGGGAAATAAGCCTGGCTCTGGAGCGTGGCAGCGCGTCTGAGACAAACATAGGAGCTCGCCGGTGTTGGGTTCTATTCGGATGGCGAGATCACGTGAATATGGTCAGGCAGGGAGGTCCTTCTCCTCTCCGTCCAGCTAGGGAAGACGGTGAGCATGAAATCGAATCGATGGCAAGGTCCGCGTGCGAAAAATTGGAGGGTTGATGGAAGGGTCCGTGGTGTGTGGGGGAGGTTATTAATTGGTTCTTGGAATCGGTAGTGGCCATGTCGTTGGCTGGAGACAAGGAAGAGAAGGTCGTTGGCATTGGAAGGGTCGATCGATGGTGTGCATGTGGACGTGGCCGAACGCTGGAAGGAGGTGGAAAACACATAAATTGGAGCACGTAAATCGGTCGAACATTGGGGCCGACAACAGACGAGCTAGGCATCGGCAGCCAAACCACCGCCATAAATCGCCGGAGAGGCATGGATTCCGGAAGTGGCAACGGCTGGGCCGGGGAAGACTAGGGTGGCGAGCTGCACCCCGCTCCTGTAGAGAAACGCCTCCTGGCTGGAGGAGGACGCCTCCAGGCGTCATGCATTCATTCCCCTGGCCAGAGCACTATCGGAATAACTGGCTATTCCGACAATTTTTTCTATGCTGACAACTTTTTGTCGGGGCCGCACCCACGGTCATTCACGGGAGCCCGGAAGACGGACGGGAACCAAAATTGAAGCATGGTACTGACTCCGTTTCTTTTTAGTCTACATATAAAATTTAATGTTTGAAATAGCGTGTTATGGAAAATAGCAGTTACCCTTCGAATCAGCTATAGCGAGGCTATAGCCCACTATAGGCAGCTGTTTCGCAAGTTTAGCAGGTTATGCCACATAGCGGCATCTGCTCAAACCGCTATAGCTGGGCTATAGCCGGCTTTTTGGAACTTTGATAAAATTTGAGTCGCCGGAGAGGCATGGATTCCGGCAGTGGCAACGGCTGGGCTGGGGAAGACGAGGGCGGCGAGCTGCACCCCGCTCCTATAGAGAAACGCCTTCTGGCTAGAGGAGGACACCGCCATGCGCCATGCATCCATTCCCCTAGCCGAAGCACTATCGGAATAACTGGCTATTCCGACAGCCTTTTCTATGCCGACGACTTCTTGTCAGGGCCGCACCCATGGTCATTTGCCGAAGCCCATAAGACGGACTGGAACCGAAATTGAAGCACGGTACTTCCTCTGTTTCTTTTTAGTCTACATATAAAATTTAATGTTTAAAATAGCGGATTATGGCAAATAGCAGTGGCCCTATGAATTAGCTATAGCGAGGCTATAGCCCGCTATAGCCAACTATTTTGCAAGTTTAGCAGGCTATGCCACATAGCGGCATCTGCTCAAACCACTATAGCTGGTCTATAGCCGGCTTTTTGAAACTTTGATAAAATTTGAGTCGCCGGAGAGGCATGGACTCCGGCAATGGCAACAGCTATGCCGGGGAAGACTAGGGCGGCAAGCTGCACCTCGGTCCTGTAAAGAAATGCCTCCCCGCACCATGCATTCATTCGCCTGTGCGGAGAACGTGCGGTTTGCATGGAGGTCGTTCTCCTCCCCGTGTCATGGAGATGGTATATTGGTGCGAGGAATCGGAGAAAAAGGCGGCTGCTTTTGCTCGGAATTGGTGGCCGGCCGACTTGTTGACTGGAGACGAGGAAGAGGGGAGCATAGGTGGAATGGGGTCGATTTTTGGTTCTGGTGGACGTGGTCGGGTCAGGGACAACGGTAGGAAGCTCGAGGAGGTGAACGGGCCAGCCCCACGGTCATCCGCCGGAGTAAGGGAAGACGGACGGGAACCCAAATTGAAGCATATACATAGTACATGAAAATAGAGCAGAGCAGCGGAGCCGCATTTTTTTTAATAATTGCTACAATGCCGATCGATCGACGGCGGCAAGCATCCATTCGCGGACAATGGGGCCAATCCACGAACACGGATACAGGAGGACGTCATCCAACCGTAGACGCATATATCCGGCCTCTTGGATTTTTTCTTAGTCCTCAGGATCGAATAGCCACATGCAAAGGGTGCAGACTCGATCGATCCATGCACATCCCTCCCAGATGCCCCATATTTTCTAGCACAAGACCAATATCTAGGAAATCGTTGCAATTTTTTCCAACCTACTAGACACGGTGAGAAGGTTCAAAAGATACCAGCTACCTAAGGGCATCCAACGGCAACCCACAATTTTCTTCAACATACGTTCATGGACAGTGGGGTGGGGACCAGTCTGCGAACACGGACGCGGAAGAACCGCATTCAAGCATAGCCAAATACATCCAGCCTCCCGGTTTTTTTCCTAGTCCAAACGATCAAGTAGCCGCATGTACAGGGTACAG